GATAAGCATAAAACAGGTACCTAAAAAAATAAATCAACCAGTCTTAACCATGTCTCCCAAGTTTGGAAGCTATAAATAAGTATGCAATTCCTGAGCCTCTTATGTAACTTCACCCCTCCCACCGTATGTGGGCAAGGGGGGGGGGGGGTGCATGGTCGACATATGCAGGCTGTGTGTCAAACAGTTCAGGCTAACTGTACAGAGTCTAGCCAAGAGAATATCGGAGAACAGCTCATGCGGATTTCTACAGGGTGAACCTGACCGGTCCTCCTCCGCTCACAACGTGGGTTTGAGGTGATCTATATAGTATAGTAAATTAATTATTAAACTAAATTATAGTAAGTATAGTAAATAGTAAATATATAGTAAATTAATTATTAAACTAAACTAGGCTACTACGGGCTCACTATAGCCCGTGCTACTTGGAATTTTGTTCCAGGTAGCGAATCTTTAACAACAACAACATAAACTAGGCTGCTAGTTGCAGTAAAAATAATAATAATAATAATAATTATAATAATAATAATAATATTTTGAATACGAATAAAAATCTACATTAACTTTACTTTTGTATTAGCAAGTTTTTTGAGACAAAAAAATACATCTCAAAGGGATAGAGTAGCTTAGGCTATTTCTACCCTCCATCCTTACCAGACTGCTTGCTTAAGCGATGAATTCCTCCTCCCGCTGTGCTTCAGCTCTTGGGCCACACCAATCTTTACCTATTTTATTTTTAAATCAAAATGTATAAAATTTAAAGGTAATGTTACGAAATGGTAATTTTTACGTTTGAACATCTGGTCCGCACCCTGTCACGTGACGTCACAAGTTTTGATGTAAATTTTGATTAATTTACTAATTTAGAAGTTAGCGTGTAATATATAACTAAAGATTTCGATTATCTATGAAAATATCACAAAATACGATTTAAAAAATATAACTAGTTATTATATTTGCGTCAAAACTATTCGTAATCTCAATATATCCCCCCCCCCCCGCGGTGGGACGCAGCGTCCGAACGTGGTGTTGGCTCGTAGCGTTACATTGATGTGGATTTACCGCTGTATTGACGTTGATTTAACGTCGAACGAACGTTACTCTGGGATACTGTGCTCGTTGGGTCGTAATCTCGGCTCGTCACTCGTGATTCACATGTTAATTAAATGCACTTAATCCTCTTAATTAAATATATTTATATAATGTCTTTAATAAGTTCTATTATTAGTGGAAGGTTATTAAGGTCTATCAACCCTCCAGAGGTTGATAGACCTTAATAACTCTCCAGAGGTTAACAGGCCTTAATAACTCTCCAGAGGTTGATAGACCTTAATAACTCTCCAGAGGTTGGCAGGCCTTAATAACTCTCCAGAGGTTGATAGGCCTTAATAACTCTCCAGAGGTTGATATAGGCCTTAATAACTCTCCAGAGGTTGATATAGGCCTTAATAACTCTCCAGAGGTTGATAGGCCTTAAGCCCAACACCAAGCCAAGTTCAGTGTATCGGTGAGAGTAATTAACTAAATATTTTTTAATGTTTAATGATATCCCAACTTGATATCATTGCACGGCAAGACGGTACCCCCCTGTCAGCCAGGTGAAGCATCATTGACCCTGGTCAGTAACTGGATGGGTGACCTCATTGATAGCCTTCCCCATAAGGAGAACCTTCACATTCTTAATTAATAAGTTTCCTATCTTGGACAATCTGTGGTATACCGAAAGGTTATCTCTACACGGTCGTGCTCACCATGGTGACCCATCCAGTTACTGGCCCATAGCGCCTGGGCTCACCCCAAGAACGAGGTAAGTCCACTACGGGCTCACCATAGCCCGTGCTACTTGCCCGGCTCCTGTGCCAGGTAAGTTACGGGCTCACCATAGCCCGTGCTACTTGCCCCGCTCCTGTGCCAGGTAAGTTATGGGCTCACCATAGCCCGTGCTACTTGCCCCGCTCCTGTGCCAGGTAAGTTACGGGCTCACCATAGCCCGTGCTACTTGCCCTGCTCCTGTGCCAGGTAAGTTACGGGCTCACCATAGCCCGTGCTACTTAGAACTTGTTCCGAGTAGCTGAATCTATAACAACAACATCATTTTTCCCTTGCTTTACCTCACTGATCGAGAGACGCCCACTTCATCCACATCACTTTAAAAACAATTGTTTTATCTACCAGAACGCTGCGCTATGAAGCGAGTTCTCTTTTTAAAAACAAATTCGTTCCTCATATTGTATTTTGTCAAATAATGTGAGGAGCGGAACTAGTTTTTTGCTCGGAAGTTCCTGTGGGTTCGCCGAGCGTTCACTGCACATGTGTGTTTCTTTGTTTGTCTCGTATGTTGCCCAACCTGGCACTTATATCCCCCCAGCAGCAGCAGCGGGCACCAGGGACACCCACGTGGCACTCAACACTAGAGCCACCGGCGGAACGGTGCCAAACTTGCCCTACACCTTGTGATCGTACGCCTGGGTCACACCCACCCTGGCAACGAGGCTCTATTTCACGTTGTCGTACCGCGCGGCGGATCTGATCCTAAAGTTAATATATATTTCTTTATGTATATTTCTTTCACATTCTAGTGTGTGGTCTGGTCATAATATATATTTGTGATTCAATTTAAGGTAAATATTCTCTCTCTCTCTCTCTCTCTCTCTCTCTCTCTCTCTCTCTCTCTCTCTCTCTCTCTCTCTCTCTCTCTCTCTCTCTCTCTCTCTCTCTCCTCTCTCTCTCTCTCTCTCTCAATTCAGATATTATTAATACGTAAACAGTGTATATGCTACATTTATTATTATTTTAGAACAATTTCAGAGAATAATGTGTGCCATTGTCACTTAAGTTGGGCCGTGTTATGACTAAGTTGGTGTTCCTCTGCTCAAGTTTCAAGTTGTTATAATCCCCCTTATCACCCAACTTCATTTCTTAAGCACATGTATATAGCTGCGCGCTTGTTTCGTGTGCTGGACACGAATGGTAGTTACGGGCGATGGCAGCTATGTCTCGATGGCACAATATCTAAGGATAAATAAAGATGATTCACCTTTGGAATAAATTTATCAGCGTTGATTTGACGTCGATTCAACGTTGATTTGACGTCGATTCAACGTTGATTTGCGGTTGATTTGACGTCGATTCAGCGTTGATTTGACGTCGATTCAACGTTGATTTGACGTCGATTTAACGTTGATTTGACGTCGATTTAACGTTGATTTGACGTCGATTCAACGTTGATTTGACGTCGATTCAACGTTGATTTGACATTAGTATTGGATATTGTGTCCAGTGGGGAGTGAGACCTTATATATCAAGACCATGAAGTGTCAATGGAGTGCGTGGCCTCTCTTTAAGGTTTCTTTCCTATCTGAAGCCAACTTATTTTAGCCTTTAACAGCTGACTTCCTCCCTCCCCCTTCTCCCCCCCTCCTTCTCAGGAGTGCCACAGAGGGCCACGTCCCAGCACAGCGACACAGCTTGAGTGCCAGGTGCTGCTGTTATTTTTAAAGAAATACGTTCTTGGAATGACGAGACAACTTTGTGTAGCATAGATAATATATTACGCTTTCCTGTACCCCTCTTACTAGGGGTACAGGTACACCATATACTTGGGTACGGGGGCATCCTACTGTGTTGTAAGGAAAGAGGCAGATTATGCTAGGGAGGTAAGGGCACCCCATATTAAATTAGGGGCTCCCTTTACCAAGGGGACACCACATACTAGGGCCGGAGCACCCCATAATAGGGTAGGGGGGCTTCCTATACTAAGGGGCACCCATTACTAGGGTAGGGGCTCCCCCACACACGCATGAGAGGGGAGGAGGAGGAGGAGGATCGGCTGGGCGAGCCATTCGTCCGGAGATATATATAAACACAGCACGTGAGGGCAGACATGCGTCGCCCAGAAAGCGGTTGGGGGGGGGGCTGCAGGCACGACAACATCTACAAAGCAAAGAAAATGGGATACGGATAGAAAATGCAGAGTATGTATAGTAGAAAATGGGATATGTATAGAAAATGCAGTCTCCAATGTTACAGGCATTGGCTAACCACAGGCTATGTTTACACTATTACATGCGTACTGTTGACCAATCACAGTCTCCCAAATCGGGCACATACCAGCGAGACAGTGATGGTGACGTTGTCTGTCTGTGTAGCCGTCAAGAGAACATGATTCGGGGGAACGACCTGTGCTAAATTTAATATGAAGGCTCCTTGGCCAAGCTCACACACACAGCTGGGGCCTCGCGGCTGAGTGGACATCGCTTTGGCGTCGTAGTCCTAATGGCCCAGGTTCAATTCCCGGCGGAAACAAATGGGCAGAGTTTCTTTCACTGATGCTCCTGTTCACCTAGCAGTAAATAGATACCCGGGAGCTAGACAGCTGCTAGGGCTGCTTCCTGGGGATGTGTGTGTGTGTTAGAGAGAAATATATGCAGTAGGTATAATACAGGAAAATAGATTGATTAGAAAGACGGGGTCTAAGAGCTAATAGCTCGATTCTGCAGACACAAATAGTAAATACAGACACATATTAATCTTCTATTATTTTTCCATCTATTCAACGTCCTAATTATTAGCATATCTTTTAGCGTTAACAATTATATATATATATGACAGTGTCAGACCACGGAGGAAAATTGAAACAGGAATTTCCTTAAGTACTTTCGTATATTAATACATCTTCAGAAGGAGTCACTTTATTAATTTATTTATTAAACATTAATATACGAAAGTACTTAAGGAAATTCCTGTTTCAATTTTCCTCCGTGGTCTGACACTGTCACATTTTTAATCACGTGTTTATTTTCATGATATACACACACACTATATATATATATATATATATATATATATATATATATATATATATATATACACACCTAATAGGCCAAGTTGCCTAACAAGCCGAGTGTTCCCAACCTATCAGGTTAGGTTTTATCATACCTAAGCTATCCTACTTGACCTAACTTATCCTAACCTAACACAGCAGTCAGTAATTCATATTTCTAATATTATATGGATCCAAATAAACCAATTTGAAAATAACAGAAATCGCTTTGGCTGTTAGGCAAATCGGGCCTTACATACTAGGCCTAGTAGTGCATCCTGGCTATTAAGCACGACAATATATATATAAGTATATATGGGATGTTAATTAGGATTTGCAGTAAGAGGATAAGTGTGATACGAAGGATTTAAAATAAAATATTGATATGTTTAATAGAGATTTACTCTTATTATCAATAGTTAAAACTTGATCATATTTCCAGTTTAACAAACGCTGTTATTCTTAGGAACGAAAGTAAGGACTTAATACTAGACAAAAAATTAACATCCACACTTCCATTTAACATGTAAAAGTCTTTAGTAAATAACACTTATCACATAAATTGTGTTTCAGGTTCCATAAAGCAGAACGATCTTTTTTTTGTTGTTTTTTTCTATCTAAAATTGGATACAAAGCAAATGTTGGCGGCGATGTAGCTAGGCTCCGCTGAATTGTGGCGGCGATGTAGCTAGGCTCCGCTGAATTGTGGCGGCGATGTAGCTAGGCTCCGCTGAATTGTGGCGGCGATGTAGCTAGGCTCCGCTGAATTGTGGCGGCGATGTAGCGAGGCTCCGCTGAATTGTGGCGGCGATGTAGCTAGGCTCCGCTGAATTGTGGCGGCGATGTAGCGAGGCTCCGCTGAATTGTGGCGGCGATGTAGCGAGGCTCCGCTGAATTGTGGCGGCCAACACGGGTCCTCCTGGCTAGACCTTCCTTGTGGCGTGGCGCCGAAACCCTTAATATCTAAAACAACCTCAAGTCAACGTGAACTGTACACAGTTTCGTGAGCTAATCTATTGTTCAGTGGAAGTAAACTTAAAATCTGTATTTTAACACTTCAATCTTAGCCTAGCTGTAAGCTACGAGGAAATCATACAGGTATTAGCTTAAGATACGATGAGTTCCCAGTATCCATTGAACTCTAGTGCCAAGCTGTATTAGGCATGGCATCCTTCACTTCATCTCCACGTACGTAAGGAGCAAATGTTCGTGTCGAAGATGAACTTTCCGATGAGCAATCACGTGTTACTCCCGACACCACGGGCTACCCGGTAGACAACCTCACAGTAGCAATGGGCAGCGTCGAGGACTCGAGGGGGGGCGACCCATGCAGAAGAGAGGCAACGAGCCTATCATTGGAGCACCAGACATGTACTGGCGACACTTATGGAGCGTTTAGGGTCGCCTCCCACTGCCGCAACTCCGCCAGGTTCTGTTGAGCAACATGGCACAGTTGACCCTCCGGCTGGTCCTTAGGCTCGTCTTGTAGCACGCGGATACACTGCTGCAGGAGAGCCTTGGCCGTCTCCACATCCTTTTTGAGCGCTACGGAATCCACGTGTTTGGCGTCGGGTTCCTGGCGCGCGCGGGCCAGGACTGCTAGGTGGTACTCATAGAGCGCCACACCGGCGTAAGGCGCCAGTCTAGCCATGCCTGGATCCAGAGCTGTGCAGACCTTCAGGAAGTCCTGGCACATCTTCTCCTTCTTCTTCATGGACTCCTGACCCACGCTGGAAGGGTCGCGGCCGTACATCTGTAGGACAGTGTGGCGAGCTGCGAAAAGATGGAAGTGATTAGGGTGGACGGTTGTCTTAGCGTGTCGCTGCACCAGTTTTTCCAGCGTTCCCAGAACCGGCATGGCTAACGCTGCCTCAATTTCTTCTCCAAGTTTAAGATTAATTTCCGTGACTTCATCAGCGGCCACGGTGGCGTTACAGGAGGTGCAGATCCAGGTAGCCAGCTCGTCTAGGGGCGCGGCTGACAAGATGAACCCGTTAGTGCACTGTTTACACCGTAGAGCAGAGAAATGTGTTCCGAGCTCAGTGGGATCTGAGCAGCGGAAGCAGGTGCACATGAAGTACTTGCTGTGCTTAAGATGGTCTCTCCGTGCTGCTGTGCCCCACAGTATGTGGGTGTACATTGTACTGATGTGCTCCCCACGCTTGATGTCCACTGCCGCCTTGACTACCACCTGGCGGTCCTTGGCGAAGGCGTGCTTGGTATTGGGCGTGCAGGAGTGCTCCAACATGGCGAAGGTCGGGTACAGCCCCAGCACCTCAGACTCCTTCAGACGGATCTCCAAGGCGTTGACGTCGATGATGCCCGTGATGGTGTGGATGGACTTCTCCGAGCTATCTATGTCTTCAATTGGGAACTCCTGGATGAAGAAGTAGTTTCTGAGGAAGTTGACGATGCTCTTCTGGTTCTCCTGGTGGAGGTGGGTGCCCTTGCGGTCCTCGTAGTGGCTCTCCAGCGACAACAGCTGCTCATATTTTTTCGGCGACTTCTTCTTCAGAGCCAGACATCTGTAGGAGACAGTCGAGAGTCAATACATATGACAGCACACAGGTGCATTACATTATATATATCCCTGGAAACACAAACCGAAACTGTCTCTACTTGTCCTTATATCCCAGCTCCTTGTTCTCATATCCCAGCTCCTTGTTCTCATATCCCAGCTCCTTGTTCTCATATCCCAGCTCCTTGTTCTCATATCCCAGCTCCTTGTTCTCATATACCAGCTCCTTGTTCTCATATCCCAGCTCCTTGTTCTCATATCCCAGCTCCTTGTTCTCATATCCCAGCTCCTTGTTCTCATATCCCAGCTCCTTGTTCTCATATCCCAGCTCCTTGTTCTCATATCCCAGCTCCGTGTCCTTATATTCCAGCTCCTTGTTCTCATATCCCAGCTCCGTGTCCTTATATTCCAGCTCCTTGTTCTCATATCCCAGCTCCTTGTCCTCATATCCCAGCTCCTTGTCCTCATATTCCAGCTCCTTGTTCTCATATCCCAGCTCCTTGTTCTCATATCCCAGCTCCGTGTCCTTATATTCCAGCTCCTTGTTCTCATATCCCAGCTCCTTGTCCTCATATCCCAGCTCTTTGTCCTCATATTCCAGCTCCTTGTTCTCATATCCCAGCTCCTTGTTCTCATATCCCAGCTCCTTGTTCTCATATCCCAGCTCCTTGTTCTCATATCCCAGCTCCTTGTCCTTATATCCCAAATCCTTGTCCTCATATCTCAGCTCCTTGTTTTCATATCCCAGCTCCTTGTTCTCATATCCCAGCGCCTTGTTCTCATATCCCAGCTCCTTGTTCTCATATCCCAGCTCCTTGTTCTCATATCCCAGCTCCTTGTTCTCATATCCCAGCTCCTTGTTCTCATATCCCAGCTCCTTGTTCTCATATCCCAGCTCCTTGTTCTCATATCCCAGCTCCTTGTCCTTATATCCCAAATCCTTGTCCTCATATCTCAGCTCCTTGTTCTCATATTCCAGCTCCTTGTTCTCATATCCCAGCTCCTTGTCCTCATATCCCAGTTCCTTGTCCTCATATCCCAGCTCCTTGTTCTCATATCCCAGCTCCTTGTCCTCATATCCCAGCTCCTTGTCCTCATATCCCAGCTCCTTGTCCTCATATTCCAGCTCCTTGTCCTCATATCCTAGCTCCTTGTTCTCATATCCCAGCTCCTTGTCCTCATATCCCTGCTCCTTGTCCTCATATCCCCTTGGTGTAGTAGGGATTAAGGCTTATCAACCTCTGGAGGGTTATTAAGGCTTATCAACCTCTGGAGGGTTATTAAAGCTTATGAACCTCTGGAGAGTTATTAAGGCTTATCAACCTCTGGAGGGTTATTAAAGCTTATGAACCTCTGGAGAGTTATTAAGGCTTATCATCCTCTGGAGGGCTATTAAGGCTTATCAACCTCTGGAGGGTTATTAAGACTTATCAACCTCTGGAGGGCTATTAAGGCTTATCATCCTCTGGAGGGCTATTAAGGCTTATCAACCTCTGGAGGGTTATTAAGACTTATCAACCTCTGGAGGATTATTAAGACTTATCAACCTCTGGAGGGCTATTAAGGCTTATCAACCTCTGGAGGGTTATTAAGGCTTATATATATAGGTGTGTATATATATTTTAGGACACACACACACACGCCCCTACACTGTCTTCGTAGCTCAAGTGCCTTCGTTTGACAATTGAATTCCCCCTCACCTCAAGGGGAAGATGACCTCGTAGAAATGGTTGGGCTGGTCGAAGTCGGCAATGTCGATGGGGGAGCCGATCTCCTGGCCGACCACGCACTCGGGCAGGTGGTCGGGCGAAGCCTCGCACCCCGCTCCGCACAACGGCCAGTTGCACTTCTGACACCTGATTGGGAAAACACATGAGAAATTTAGAACATGTTTGCTGATGACCAGACCACACACTAGAATGTGAAGGGACGACGACGTTTCGGTCCGTCCTGGACCATTCCTGGACCCAACATGTTTGCTGTTCAAATGGGTTTTAGAAATATTTGTTTGTATCTTGGAGACTAGAAATGGATTTTAATTTTCGATAGCAGGGCGAAATATGATGATAATGCGGGATCTGTACAGTTTAATGATGAATTAGGGACTAGGATGGCTTCTCTAAATAGAAGTAATAAAAGCCGGTGTGTTTAAACACGGATCATTTATTCTTTATACAACTGGCCAAACGCATGATCGCATTCCCTATATGCGCATGGCCACATTCCCTATATGCGCATGGCCACATTCCCTATATGCGCATGGCCACATTCCCTATATGCGCATGGCCACATTCCCTATATGCGCATGGCCACATTCCCTATATGCGCATGGCCACATTCCCTATATGCGCATGACCACATGCCTATATGCGTATGGCCACATTCCCTATATGCGCATGGCCACACCCTCTTATCCCCACAGAAAACATAGCTTACATTGAACAGCAAGGCAAGACACGCCAAGGAATGAGATGGATGCTCACAAAGTTTGGTTGGTTTGGTATTAGGCTTCAGGCCAATTAGCCTCTGGAGGGCTATTAGGCCTCTACCAACCTCTGAAGGGTTATTAGGGCCACAACACTTGCTTATAGGAAGGGTTGACGTGGGTTGACAAGTATACAAACATGTATACTTGCTGGTTGATAGGTGCACGTGGTCGACCAGAGTACAGCCAGCAGGTGCACGTGGTCGACCAGAGTACAGCCAGCAGGTGCACGTGGTCGACCAGAGTACAGCCAGCAGGTGCACGTGGTCGACCAGAGTACAGCCAGCAGGTGCACGTGGTCGACCAGAGTACAGCCAGCAGGTGCACGTGGTCGACCAGAGTACAGCCAGCAGGTGCACGTGGTCGACCAGAGTACAGCCAGCAGGTGCACGTGGTCGACCAGAGTACAGCCAGCAGGTGCACGTGGTCGACCAGAGTACAGCCAGCAGGTGCACGTGGTCGACCAGAGTACAGCCAGCAGGTGCACGTGGTCGACCAGAGTACAGCCAGCAGGTGCACGTGGTCGACCAGAGTATAGCCAGCAGGTGCACGTGGTCGACCAGAGTACAGCCAGCAGGTGCACGTGGTCGACCAGAGTACAGCCAGCAGGTGCACGTGGTCGACCAGAGTACAGCCAGCAGGTGCACGTGGTCGACCAGAGTACAGCCAGCAGGTGCACGTGGTCGACCAGAGTACAGCCAGCAGGTGCGCGTGGTCGACCAGAGTACAGCCAGCAGGTGCACGTGGTCGACCAGAGTACAGCCAGCAGGTGCGCGTGGTCGACCACAGTACAGCCAGCAGGTGCACGTGGTCGACCACAGTACAGCCAGCAGGTGCACGTGGTCGACCACAGTACAGCCAGCAGGTGCACGTGGTCGACCACAGTACAGCCAGCAGGTGCACGTGGTCGACCAGAGTACAGCCAGCAGGTGCACGTGGTCGACCAGAGTACAGCCAGCAGGGAGCGTGACTATAAATACCATGATGGCGGGCGGAGGTTCAGGGGCCGGTCGCCCGGGGACAATGGAGCTGTCAGCCACAGGTAACATAACACGGGCCTGTTATGTTACCCACAGGACCTTACTGTGGGTGGTATGCTGAGACCCACAGGACCTTACTGTGGGTGGTATGCTGAGACCCACAGGAACTTACTGTGGGTGGTATGCTGAGACCCACAGGACCTTACTGTGGGTGGTATGCTGAGACCCACAGGACCTTACTGTGGGTGGTATGCTGAGACCCACAGGACCTTACTGTGGGTGGTATGCTGAGACCCACAGGACCTTACTGTGGGTGGTATGCTGAGACCCACAGGACCTTACTGTGGGTGGTAATCTAAACATGAAATTATATATAATTGGGTTCGGGTGTTAGGAGGGGAAAAGGTTGACTTAATAATTATGTAATTGTAAGTTTAAACTGGGAATTTCTTTATCATTAAAACAAATATAATGGGAGCTCTCTCTCTCTCTCTCTCTCTCTCTCTCTCTCTCTCTCTCTCTCTCTCTCTCTCTCTCTCTCTCTCTCTCTCTCTCTCTCTCTCTCTCTCTCTCTCTCTCACTCTCTCTCTCTCACCTGTAAGAGCCGTCTACTCTCTTGTAGCAGCCTAGGCAGACAGGCTCGGTGATCTGTTTAGGTCCAACTGCTATAGGCTCCTCCTTCAGTATGACGTCACCAGCCTTCAGGTCACGTGACGCCACCATGTACCTCCCTAGAGCGGCCGACTCCAGTACCTGACCACACACACACATAAGTAAATATTCAACACATATTTGGTATATTGACTGAGAACTCGTGCAATTTAATGTGCTGCATCCTATTGCAGAGTAAATAAACTATTATTATTATTATTATTATTATTATTATTATTATTATTATTATTATTATTATTATTATTATTATTATTATTATTATTTATAAAACTAAAGATATTTTACGCTTTTTGGTATATTGACTTGAGTCCTGGACAATATTCAGACAATAACATGTATACTTGCTGGTTGGTCAGTACGATATTGTGTTGACCTTAATAACCTCCTTGAGGTTCATAGGCCTCTCCAGAGGTTCCTGGGGATATATAGGTCCTAAACCTAAACCTAACACCATCAGCGGCGGTTCCATCCATCTATTCCCTTTGTAAACAATTGTTAAAGCAGAAGCCTCATATTTGACTTCTATCAACGTTTTTGCCTTTTAAATCTGTAAGACTGACTACATCAACCTTATCAGTTGATGCCCAACGGGGTTTTTAATTATTCTGTTGTCCATTGACTCACTAAATGATCTGTAAATTGATTGTCAAGATAAAGTAGCCTATTTAATATTTGGCCGTGAAACCTGTCGTTGAAAATTTTGGTGTCCATTGCCATGGCGGACACATGGTTTGAGAGGCTGTGATGATTCCCGAGTGGGACACGATGCCTTTCACCTTATATTTCTGTTCACCTAGCAGTAAATAGAGGTACCTGGGAGTTAATTAACTGTTGTGGGGGTTGTATCCTTGGTGGGGGGGGGAGCGACAAAATTTCATGAACCTTATCATCACGCAAGGATAATTATTATCCTTGGATGATATCAGTTGCCAAGGATAATACTGGCCTTCTTCAGGATGCGTCATAATAGTTACTTATACTTCCCACGTACCTATTTACTGTTAGGTGAACAGAGGCATCAGGAGAAGCGGTAACTAGTCGATCATCAGGTTAGACAGAGTCTTTGTTGGCAACGGAGTTTGGCCGGGTTGAGTGCAAGCGTCATGTGGCTACACTCCCGGGCTGAGTGTGTGTGAGTGGCTACACTCCCGGGCTGAGTGTGTGTGAGTGGCTACACTCCCAGGCTGAGTGTGTGTGAGTGGCTACACTCCCGGGCTGAGTGTGTGTGAGTGGCTACACTCCCGGGCTGAGTGTGTGTGAGCGGCTACACTCCCGGGCTGAGTGTGTGTGAGTGGCTACACTCCCGGGCTGAGTGTGTGTGAGTGGCTACACTCCCGGGCTGAGTGTGAGTGGCTACACTCCCGGGCTGAGTGTGTGTGAGTGGCTACACTCCCGGGCTGAGTGTGAGTGGCTACACTCCGGGCTGAGTGTGTGTGAGTAGCTACACTCCCGGGCTGAGTGTGAGTGGCTACACTCCCGGGCTGAGTGTGTGTGAGTAGCTACACTCCCGGGCTGAGTGTGAGTGAGTGGCTACACTCCCGGGCTGAGTGCGAGTGGCTACACTCCGGGGCTGAGTGTGAGTGGCTACACTCCCGGGCTGAGTGCGAGTGGCTACACTCCCGGGCTGAGTGTGAGTGGCTACACTCCGGGGCTGAGTGTGAGTGGCTACACTCCCGGGCTGAGTGTGTGTGAGTGGCTACACTCCCGGGCTGAGTGTGTGTGAGTGGCTACACTCCCGGGCTGAGTGTGTGTGAGTGGCTACACTCCCAGGCTGAGTGTGTGTGTGTGGCTACACTCCCGGGCTGAGTGTGAGTGGCTACACTCCGGGGCTGAGTGTGAGTGGCTACACTCCCGGGCTGAGTGTGTGTGAGTGGCTACACTCCCGGGCTGAGTGTGTGTGAGTGGCTACACTCCCGGGCTGAGTGTGTGTGAGTGGCTACACTCCCAGGCTGAGTGTGTGTGAGTGGCTACACTCCCGGGCTGAGTGTGAGTGGCTACACTCCGGGGCTGAGTGTGAGTGGCTACACTCCCGGGCTGAGTGTGTGTGAGTGGCTACACTCCCGGGCTGAGTGTGTGTGAGTGGCTACACTCCCGGGCTGAGTGTGTGTGAGTGGCTACACTCCCGGGCTGAGTGTGAGTGGCTACACTCTCGGGCTGAGTGTGTGTGAGTGGCTACACTCCCGGGCTGAGTGTGTGTGAGTGGCTACACTCCCGGGCTGAGTGTGTGTGAGTGGCTACACTCCCGGGCTGAGTGTGAGTGGCTACACTCCCGGGCTAAGTGTGTGTGAGTGGCTACACTCCCGGGCTGAGTGTGAGTGGCTACACTCCCGGGCTGAGTGTGTGTGAGTGGCTACACTCCCGGGCTGAGTGTGAGTGGCTACACTCCCGGGCTGAGTGTGTGTGAGTGGCTACACTCCCGGGCTGAGTGTGAGTGGCTACACTCCCGGGCTGAGTGTGTGTGAGTGGCTACACTCCCGGGCTGAGTGTGTGTGAGTGGCTACACTCCCGGGCTGAGAGTGTGCGAGTGGCTACACTCCCAGGCTGAGTGTGTGTGAGTGGCTACACTCCCGGGCTGAGTGTGTGTGAGTGGCTACACTCCCGGGCTGAGAGTGTGCGAGTGGCTACACTCCCGGGCTGAGTGTGAGTGGCTACACTCCCGGGCTGAGTGTGAGTGAGTGGCTACACTCCCGGGCTGAGTGTGAGTGGCTACACTCCCGGGCTGAGTGTGTGTGAGTGGCTACACTCCCGGGCTGAGTGTGAGTGGCTACACTCCCGGGCTGAGTGTGAGTGAGTGGCTACACTCCCGGGCTGAGTGTGTGTGAGTGGCTACATTCCCGGGCTGAGTGCGAGTGGCTACACTCCCGGGCTGAGTGTGAGTGGCTACACTCCCGGGCTGAGTGTGAGTGGCTACACTCCCGGGCTGAGTGTGAGTGGCTACACTCCCGAGCTGAGTGTGTGTGAGTGGCTACACTCCCGGGCTGAGTGTGAGTGGCTACACTCCTGGGCTGAGTGTGAGTGAGTGGCTACACTCCCGGGCTGAGTGTGTGTGAGTGGCTACACTCCCGGGCTGAGTGTGTGTGAGTGGCTACACTCCCGGGCTGAGTGTGTGAGTAGCTACACTCCCGGGCTGAGTGTGAGTGAGTGGCTACACTCCGGGGCTGAGTGTGAGTGGCTACAGTCCCAGGCTGAGTGTGAGTGAGTGGCTACACTCCCGGGCTGAGTGTGAGTGGCTACACTCCCGGGCTGAGTGTGTGAGTAGCTACACTCCCGGGCTGAGTGTGTGTGAGTGGCTACACTCCCGGGCTGAGTGTGAGTGGCTACACTCCGGGGCTGAGTGTGAGTGGCTACACTTCCGGGCTGAGTATGTGTGTCTACACTCCCGGGCTGAGTGTGTGTCAGTGGCTACACTCCCGGGCTGAGTGTGAGTGAGTGGCTACACTCCGGGGCTGAGTGCAGCAAACGTTGAGTGGTTACACTCAATACTGGCGGAGAGACTAAGCGGTTCATAATGGTCCCGTCTGGCCCCTAGGTCATGTGCGGATTTAGCTGTACCGAGCTACAGGAATATATTTAGGCCTTGAAGATGTGGCCAGAATGAACCACCGGCCAAAGATGGTCTTTATGCCGGGAGGGGGAGGGGGGGGGGAGGGGTTGGGGGGATTGATGGGGGGTTAGGGGGGGAGGGAGAGATTTTTTAGGGGTGGGGGGGGGGTTGAAGGGAGGGAGGGGGAGACACAGCCAAATATCTCTATATATTGCTCACAAATTTCATGCTTTTGACATTTTGTTTAATTATTATATGCATTCTTGACATGTACGATTTTATTGTCAGTTTTATGTGGTCGTGTTAGACACAGTCATTGTGTCGGGGGACAGATAGCCAGTATATATATATATATATATATATATATATATATATATATATATATATATATATATATATATATATATATATATATATATATATATATATATATATATATATATATATGTCGTACCTAGTAGCCAGAACTCACTTCTCAGCCTACTATGCAAGGCCCGATTTGCCTAATAAGCCAAGTTTTCATGAATTAATGTTTTTTCGTCTACCTAACCTACCTAACCTAACCTAACCTAGCTTTTTTTGGCTACCTAACCTAACCTTACCTATATATATAGGTTAAGTTAGGTTAGGTAGGGTTGGTTAGGTTCGGTCATATATCTACGTTAATTTTAACTCCAATAAAAAAAAATTGACCTCATACATAGTGAAAAGGGTAGCTTTATCATTTCATAAGAAAAAAATTATAGTAAATATATTAATTCAGGAAAACTTGGCTTATTAGGCAAATCGGGCCTTGAATAGTAGGCTGAGAAGTGAGTTCTGGCTACTAGGTACGACATATATATATATATATATATATATATATATATATATATATATATATATATATATATATATATATATATATATATATATATATATATATATATATATATATATATATATATATATATATATATATCAAGGTCCCCCAAGGTGGAACTACTGTCTGTAGGTTCGTATTTTAGTGTGATCGTGTTTTAGTTTAATATAAGGCACTGAAACTGGAAAGACTGGTACACTTTGTACCAGTGTACCAAATAAAGACTGGCACTGTCTGGACACTCACCTGGAAAGGCTGGCACTGGTCCTTGTGACCGTTCTTCCAGTGTTCCCTCTGGCACTCTCGCTTGCAGTAGAAAGCCTGTCGGCAGTTGGCGCAGCGCAGTTTGGCCAAGAAGCCGCAGTTGGCACACATGCCAATCTCTGGCTCCTGGTGATCGTCCACCTCCTCCATCCTGAGGGCAAGATAACACACACTTGTGAGAAGGGCGATGTCAGTCTCAGTCTCTCTCTCTCTCTCTCTCTCTCTCTCTCTCTCTCTCTCTCTCTCTCTCTCTCTCTCTCTCTCTCTCTCTCTCTCTCTCTCTCTCTCTCTCTCTCTCTCTCTCTCTCTCTCACACACACACAAAACGCTAATTATTTAGGGGGGTCTGGTAGCTGAGCGGACAGCGCGCAGGACTCGTAATTCTGTGGCGCGGGTTCGATTCCCGGACCAGGCAGAAACAAATGGGCAAAGTTTCTTTCACCCTGAATGCCCCTGTTACCTAGCAGTAAAGAGGTACTTGGGAGTTAGCCAGCTGTTACGGAGCTGCTTCCTGGGTTCCTGGGGGGGGGGGGAACATTAGTGTTATTAGTTACAGTTGATTGATTGACAGTTGAGAGGCGGGCCGAAAGAGCAGTGCCTAACTCCCGCAAGAATAACTAGGTGAACAACTAGGTGAACACACACACACACACCAGGGCGTGTAAGGGACAGTATGAGTGAGACAACTATGAGGTGACAACACCTAACAACATTACTATGTAGCTCTTGGATGGTATGAGAGCAACACACTAAAATAGATGTGGACGAGGGGAGGTGAAAGAAGGGGACGGGGGTGAGAGGGAGAGAGAGGAGATGAAAGAAGTGACGTGCACGGTGCATTTCGATGTTTCGAAAAGAACCTAGTCACCCCATGTAACCTACACTTATCCCATGGAACCTACAGTCAACCAAGGGAACCTACACTAACCCCAATTATAGTCAGGGCGTAGTGCTCTTTGGTCTACACTGGACAGGCGCCTCCAGATGGTAGGTAACATGTTCAACTAATTATACGGGCTGTTTCCCCTCCCTGCGAAAGCTGGAAACTGGTCATAATAATAATAATCATATTTTCAAAGAAAGTGCGGTTTGAATTTCCCGCGGGCTGGAGATTGTCAGCTGACACTTCACGAGTGATGTCATTGCCAACCAACGGCTCTATAGGGACTCCTGGCTCGACCTGGACGCCGAGCGGACGTCCGGACGCCTCCTCCTGCTCCTGGGAGCCGCCGGATCACGTTCTGTTTTGCGATTTGGATGTGATACTGGCGTTTGGCATTCCTCTTCAACGGTCCGGTTTGTACGACGCTTGGCGCACATATCGCCTTGGGTCACCGGATTGTTGATAGATTTTTGTTTACGTGTTCTGGCTGGTTCTCCCGGAGGAGTGACGGTGTCCGGCGCCGGCTTGGCCAAGAGGTGCCGGGAGTTGGTGGGTCTTGGTGGGCTCCCGTAGTGCCCTCAGTCGTGGTGGGCGGCTGGCTTCTGCTCTGCCGGAGGACACTGGATGACTTTTACGTTTTAGTTAGAGCCGAGTTTTTGGTTTTGCTCCCCGGCGTTCTCTGTGTGGGGCGGGGCCGGTGCTTGTCACCCTGAGGGACTCCTGGGGCTTCCCAATCATCTGCCTGTCTGCGTCTCTTTGCCGCGAGGCATATTAGTTTCCTCGTTTCGCGATTAGGCTTGGCGCTTCACCTTTCCGGGCTTCGCGATTAACCCTTCACGGGTACGCCGGGGAGCATCCGATCCCACAAGCGTCGTCGCTCTTAAATCAAGAACGAGTCTATAATTTCCGCTGTTTATCGCATAAAACACATGTATGCTTTTTAATATTTAGTTTAATGGATAAAGTTTTAAAATACAATTATATTTTTTAAATTCCTGTGAAATATATAATGTTATCTTTTTATGCCCGATTATGTGAATTGAGGTTTACATTAACGGTGCTTGATTGACGCGGATGAATACACACAACTGTATCTCGTCAGATAATTATTCATCATTCACTGGACGTGCCAGCAGGCCAGGCAGGTTATACTTGTATCCCGCTTGTTATTGAGGCATCATGACGGTTTGTTGTTAATGACTGTTAACTGATGATACAACTCTGACGATACAACTGTCATGTCACTCTGACGACACAACTGTCATGTCACCTTGACAACACAACTGTCATGTCACCTTGACAACACAACTGTCATGTCACCTTGACAACACAACTGTCATGTCACCTTGACAACACAACTGTCATGTCACCTTGACAACACAACTGTCATGTCACCTTGACAACACAACTGTCATGTCACCTTGACAACACAACTGTCATGTCACCTTGACAACACAACTGTCATGTCACCTTGACAACACAACTGTCATGTCACCTTGACAACACAACTGTCATGTCACTCTGACGTCACTGTGGCGTCATTTTGACAACTCTGACGTCATTTTGACAACCTCGAGTGCTGTGCTTGGAACTTTTCACGTGTGTAATAATGTTCTTGTCTAAAGACTCTGCTTTTTTTTACATCATGTCGTTGTTTGTGTCTAAGAAAATAACGTATGTGTTTGTATATCCCAGCGGGCTATTCACCTGTTTGTGTCCACAGGATCGAGCATTTAGCTCTTGGACCTCCACATTTGCATCCACCGGTTTGTTTAATGTAATGACTCACGGCCTATTTGATCTATCATATCTACTATAGGCCTACTAATGGTCATCCCTTTAGATGCAAACCACAAGAGTTATACGTTTTCTGTTGGAAGAATAGCAGCATCAGATGAAAGGAAACGTTGGGCAAATATTCTGTTTGCAGCTAGATTCACGAAAGCACTTACGAACGTGTACATCTTTCTTCAGTCTTGACGGCTTTGGTTACATTTATTAAACAGTTTATAAGTATGAAAACTTCCCATTCAACTATTGTTATTGTTATAAACAGCCTCCTAATGCTTCGGAGCTCATTAACTGTTTAATAATTGGAAACAAAGCCGCCAAAGATTGAGAAAAGATGTACAGGTTCGTAAGTGCTTTCGTGAATCTGGCCCCTGGAGGGGTGTTGGAACAACGAAGATGGCGGGATCAACACAAAGGTTATCGAAAATACAACCCGTCATCCTAGTCGAGTTTACCGGTTGTAGATAGTCTATGTAATTGAATAATATGTTATGTTGGCTTTATTTAGTCCCCGTGGCGCAGTGGTAAAGCACTCGCCCGGCGCTTCGCGAGCGCTTTGGCCTAGGTTCGTATCCTGGCCGGGGAGGATTGACTGGGCGCCAATCCTTAACTGTACGCCTCTGTTCACCCAGCAGTGTGAAGGGGTACCTGGTTGTTAAACGATTTGGCGGGTCGTATTCCGGGGAAATTTAGGATTAAAATCTGTACAAAAAATGTAAGAACTCTTTATATATAAATAAAATTCATTTTGTCAGGGGACAGGCAGCCAGTGTATATATACAAATTAGGCTTATATATCGAGGTTCCTCCCCCCTCCAACCACTTGGGCTGGACGGTAGAGCGACGGTCTCGCTTCATGCAGGTCGGCGTTCAATACCCGATCGTCCAAGTGGTTGGCCACCATTCCTTTCCCCCCGTCCCATCCCAAATCCTTATCTTGACCCCTTCCCAGTGCTATATAGTCGCAATGGCTTGGTGCTTTCTCCCTGATAGTTCCCTTCCCTTCCCTTCCCCCCCCCCCATGATCTAGCTAATGACCCTTCCCAGGATGCAACCCCACAACTAACTGCGGAGCTAACTGCGGAAACGCGCCCATCCATTTCTGTCCCGCACGGTATTCGAACCCTGAATTCTAGATTGTGAGTCGAGAATGAACTCGACGGTACTACCGGGACTCTATAATAAGGGATAGTCGTATTTCGAGCATTTCTCAACGTGACTATGTATGTGTTTATACCTCGTGCTTCGTGCAGTTATTGTTGTTGTTGTTTTAGATTCAGCTACTTTGAACAAAAATCCCAAAGTAGCACGGGCTATGGTGAGCCCGCAGTGGACTTACCTGGCACAGGAGCGGGGCTGTAACTGTCCTTCCTTCGTGCAGTTGTTGTTGTTGTTTTAGATTTAGCTACTCAGAACGAAATGTCCATGTAGCACGGGCTATGGTGAGCCCGTAAATTTCTTCGTGCAGTTTCAGCTAGTATTTTATATACATCTAAATCACCTTAACAAAACGCACCTAACCTGGGCATACCTTTGTATAAAAGTTAGCGAATCAAACAACATAAGCTTGGCTAGGAAGAAAACTTTTTTCAACTTAGAAAATTAAACTTACAAAATTTGTTTGTGACATTTCATATTTTTTTTAAGAAATGGAAAGTCATTATATGCACCTATCATACATTACACATATGTGTGCGCATGCAAACGGAAGAATGGGCCGCATTCGCACGCCAGCAGATGCACGAGTGGCATCTGTCTGTGCCACTCGTGCACAGACAGATACCGCTCGTCTATATATAGTTCAGGCTTTTTTTTTTGGAACTAATCCAGCAATAGCAAGAGCAACAGTAATAGGGCAGCAATAACACATGAATTCGATGTGTTTAAACATTTAAAAATGCAATGCAAACATAAATTCAACCCTTTCACAAGCACAATATTGCAGACCTGAAACTTGGACGTCGGAGGTCAGGAAGGAACGCTGCTGGTTCTTCCTTCAGCAAGAGCTTTCTGCGTTGACAGTTTTCCTGCTCAGCATCCTCATTTTCCTCCTGTTTCTTGTTCTGGACCTTCCATTGCTTCACTTCAGGTGCGTCAGTACCATCTACTTCCCCTTCAAGGGCTCCCGAAGGCACACTGCTGCTGTCCGACGAGCCTCTGGTTGCGGCGTCTTCTTGTGGAGTTCCCGCGCTTTTGTTTACATCCGGAGACGCGCTCTCTGATTGGCGGAACGTTACCCGCTTCTCTCGCGGCCTGACTGATTGAGAACATGGTTCTTCTTGACCCCTGTGTTCTTCGGCACTCTTGTGTTCTTCACTCAGAGAACATGGGTGTTCTTTAACGTCCTGTTCCTCTTTACTCTTGTGTTCTGCACCACTCTTAGAACTTTGGTGTTCTACGTTTTGTTCCTCCTGATTCTTGTGTTCTGCTTCGATCTTAGAACTTAGTAGTTCTTCATCGTTCTTTTCCTCTGTGTTCTTGTGTTCTGTTTCACCCTTTGAACTTGTGTGTTCTTCAACGACCTGTTCTTCTCTGCTCTTGTGTTCTTCAACGACCTGTTCTTCTCTGCTCTTGTGTTCTTCAACGATCTGTTCTTCTCTGTTTTTGTGTTGCATTCCACCATGAGAACTTGGGTGTTTTTCAACACTCTGTTCAATTATACCCCTTTGTTCTTCATCTTGAGGGCTTGGATGTTCTTCATCCTGAGAACTTGGATGTTCTTCATCCTGAAAACTTGGGTGTGCTTCATCCTGAGAACTTGGGTGTTCTTCATCCTGAGAACTTGGGTGTTCTTCCTGAGAACTTAGGTGTTCATCATCCTGAGAACTTGGGTGTTCTTCACCCTGAGAACGTTTGTGTTCTTCAACATCATGTTCCTTCTTACTCTTGTATTTTCCAGCACCCTCAGAGCATACTTGTTCTTTAGCATTTTGTTCCACCTTACTCTTGAGTTCTTCAGAATCGTAAGAACATTCATGTTCTCCATCTTTTTGGATGGACGTATGTTTTTCGAAGTTCTGAGATAGCATTTGTTCATCACTATCCTGTGATATCAGTTGTTCTACTTCCTTGAGTTTGGTTTGTTCTTCAGTTACCTCAGTTTGTATTCTTTCTTCATTACGAACTTTTGTTTGTTCTTCAATGTTCTTAATTTCCGTTTGTTTATCAGCGCTCATTAGTTTTTCTTGTTCATCAATATTGAGTCTAGTTTGTTCTTCAGTCTTCGTGGATTCAGGTTGTTCTTCAGTCTTCGTGGATTCAGGTTGTTCTTCAGTCTTCGTGGATTCAGGTTGTTCTTCAGTCTTCGTGGATTCAGGTTGTTCTTCAGTCTTCGTGGATTCTGGCTGTTCTTCAGTCTTCGTGGATTCTGGTTGTTCTTCAGTCTTCGTGGATTCAGGTTGTTCTTCAGTCTTCGTGGATTCAGGTTGTTCTTCAGTCTTCGTGGATTCTGGTTGTTCTCCAGTCTTCGTGGATTCTGGTTGTTCTTCAGTCTTCGTGGATTCTGGTTGTTCTTCAGTTCTGTGTTTTGCTTGATTTGCAGTCTTGGAGTTCATTTCTTCTTTAGCATTCGGGGATTTTGTTTGTTCTGCAGACGCGAAGTTCGTCTGTTCTTCAGCGTTCTTAGTTTTTGCTTTTTCTTTTGGTTTGTGTTTCGTTTGTTCTTCAGCTTTTTGGTAGTTTATTTGTTTTTCGGTATGCTTATGGCTTGTTATTTTTGTCTTGTGTTTCGTTTGTTCTTCAGTGTTCATCGACTTTGTTTGTTCTTCAGACGTAGTTTTCGCTTGTTTTCCAGTCTGTTTGGGCTTTGATAATTGTTCAGTATTCGTGAATTTTGTTTGTTCAGCGCGGTGTGGTTTTACTTGTTCATTTGTTTTGCTTATTGTTTGTTCCTGAGTGTTATTAGGTTTCGCGTGTTCTTCGGTATCTGGAATTCTTGCATGTTTGTGCTTTGTTTGTTTGTTTCGCTTGATTTTTGCTTGTTCTCCAGTGTTTTTAGGCTTCGTTTGTTCTACTTTGTCATAAGTGCCGCCCTGTTCTCTGCAATGTTCTGTTATTTGTTCTCCGCTGCAATGGACTGTTGTTTGTTCTTCACTGCTCAGAGATGTTGCAGTTTGTTCACATGTGGTAGATGGTGTTTGAAGTTGTTTGGCCTTAGAGGAGGTAATCTGTTCATCACTTCTTTGTGTGACGTTACTTGAAGAACACGTCTGTTCTGTGTTCTTCGTGGGAACTACCCGTTCTTCGCTGCCTTTCGAAGCTGTCAGTTTTTTCTTTGTCTTGTTATTTGCTTGTTTTTCTGCGGCGATGTGTTCTTTATTGTTCTTTGAATTCTTCTGTTTAGTGTTGTCCTTATTCTCGTGTTCTTCACTGGCACTCGTGTGGTGTTTTCTGTTATATCTTCCTTGTTCACTGTTGAAACTGGTCGTGTGTTGTTTCCTGGTGTTCATCTGTTCTTCTTGGACGCTGATAGTACGATGACGAGTGCCGGTGCCACTCTGTTCTTCACCGCCGTTTGTTTCTACATCCCTCCAGTTCATGTGTTCAGCTCCATCGCTCGTTGTTCTCCTCCTATTCCAGTGTTCTTCACCAGCTCTGGTTGGTTTCTTCCTCCTCTTTGAGTGTTCTTCGCTCTCACTAGTTGTTCTCGTCCTCCAGTTGGAGAGTTCTTCTCCGGCGCTTACTGTTCTCTCCCTCGTGTTGGCGCGGTCTCCGCCAGAGGAATGTGCTTGTGGCCAGCGACTCGAAGTGGCCGGGTCTTCGCTGGAGCTCTTCGTCCGCTGGCCTCTCGGAGCTCCTGACGGGGGATGTCCGCGGCTGCCCCGGAAGGTCTTCCTGACCTTGTTCCCACGGGGCGATGGACCCTGACCTTTACCAGCTCCGAGGGCGCCCCTGGGGATGGCGCCCTGAGGGGTCTCTGGTTCTGAACCAGTGGGTATTGTGCTTTTGCCTGGCGATGGGAGATCTTCGGGTGCAGAGATGCTGTCAGTGTGGGTGTTGCTGGGATTCTGGGTGTCGCTGGGATTCTGGGTGTCGCTGGGATTCTGGGTGTCGCTGGGATTCTGGGTGTTGCTGGGATTCTGGGTGTCGCTGGGATTCTGGGTGTCGCTGGGATTCTGGGTGTCGCTGGGATTCTGGGTGTCGCTGCGACTGTGGGTGTTGCTGGGATTCTGGGTGTTGTTGGGACATAAGGTGATATCACTAGTTTTGATGACATCAGCACTCTGGGTGATGGAAATTTCTGTGATGTCGGAACTTTGGGTGTTATCTTGACTTTGGGTGTTATCTTGACTTTGGGTGTTATCTTGACTTTGGTTGTTTTCTTGACTTTGGATTTTATCCTGACTTAGGGTGTTATCCTGACTAAGGGTGATATCCTGACTTTGTATATTATCTTGACTTTGGGTGTTATCATGATCTGGGGTGTTATCCTGACTTAGGGTGTTATACTGATTTATGGTGTTATCCTGACTTTGGATATTATCCTCACTTTGTGTGTCCTGACTTAGGGTGTTATCCTGATTTAGGATGTTATCCTGACTTTGGATGCTATACAGACTTTGGGTGTTATCCTGACTTTGGATATTATCCTCAATTTGGGTGTCCTGACTTAGGGTGTTATCCTGCCTTTGGATATTATTCTGAGTTTGGATATTATCCTCACTTTGGGTGTTATTCTGACTTTGGATATTATCCTGAATTATGGTGTTATCCTGACTTAGGGGGTTATCCTGACTTTGGATATTATCCTGACTTTGGATATTATCCTGACTTTGGATATCCTCACTTTGGGTGTTATCCTGATTTTGGATATTATCCTCACTTTGGGTGTTATCCTGACTCTGGATATTATCCTCACTTTGGATGTTATCCTGACTTTGGGTGTTATCCGGACTTTGGATATTATTCTGACTTTGGGTGTTATCCTGACTTTGGGTGGTATCCTGACTTAAGGTGTTATCCTGACTTAGGGTGTTATCCTGACTTTGGATATTATCCTCACTTTGGATGTTATCCTGACTTGGTGTGTTATCCTGACTTTGGATATTATCCTCACTTTGGATGTTATCCTGACTTTGGGTGTTATCCTGACTTTGGGTGTTATCCTGACTTTGGATATTATCCTGACTTTGGATATTATCCTGACTTTGGATATTATCCTGACTTAGGGTGTTATCCTGACTTTGGATATTATCCTGACTTTGGGTATTATCTTGACTTTGGATATTATCCTGACTTTGGATATTATCCTGACTTTGGGTATTATCCTGACTTTGGATATTATCCTGACTTTGGGTATTATCTTGACTTTGGATATTATCCTGACTTTGGATATTATCCTGACTTAGGGTGTTATCCTGACTTTGGATATTATCCTGACTTTGGATATTATCCTGACTTTGGGTGTTATCCTGACTTTGGGTATTATCCTGACTTAGGGTGTTATCCTGACTTTGGATATTATCCTGACTTTGGGTATTATCCTGACTTTGGATATTATCCTGACTTGGGATATTATCCTGACTTAGGGTGTTATCCTGACTTTGGATATTATCCTGACTTGGGATATTATCCTGACTTAGGGTGTTATCCTGACTTTGGATATTATCCTGACTTTGGATATTATCCTCACTTGGGATATTATCCTGACTTAGGGTGTTATCCTGACTTTGGATATTATCCTGACTTTGGGTATTATCCTGACTTTGGGTGTTATCCTGACTTTGGATATTATCCTGACTATGGATATTATCCTGACTTTGGGTGTTATCCTGACTTAGGGTGTTATCCTGACTTAGCATGTTATCCTGACTCGGGGTATCATCCTGGCAGTTTCTGGTACTCTGAGTGTTATCAGGGAGTGTATTGACGGGTGTTTGGACAGGATTTAGGGTGTCGTCAAGGCTGTGGGTCGTTGCCGTGGCGTCAGTACTGTCCTGGTGATAACTGTCAATTGAGTAATTGGTGCCATATCCGGTGTTGACAGCGTCGTCCATATACTCCAGAGGGATGTCGGGTTGACAGCTGCTTGTGTCAATTATGGTGGATGTGGTCGCACTGCGTTCAAGACGATCAGCAGTCGATGGGGATGTGTCGTTCGCTGGGGTAAAGTCGATCGACGTACCTTCGTTCTTCGTCGAGTCGTCGCTCGCAGAAGGAACGAAGTCGAGCGTCGTGGAAGTCCACGACGCGGATGTCGTCCAGTCGGTTGAAATCTGTCGAGAATGTGCGGATCGAAATGGATCGCTCGTCTCGTTTGGTTCAGAGTTCGCGGCGCCCTCTACCTTACCAGTGTTCCTCTCCTCCAAACTGTTTCCAGTCGAAGATGCGAAGTACATAACCGGGGTAGCGGCGCCGGGAGTCACAACGGTTGCTTCGCTCTCTTCCGTGTCGGAGCCTTTGGTCGGTCCAGTATGGCCTCCAGATAAGTGGATTTTGGTAAAATTGGCCAACAGGTTGCTCACGCTCTGCTGGGTGTCGTTACAGGTATGACTGAGGCACTCCTTCAGGTTCTCCAGCCGCACCTCCAACCTGCTGCTGAGGGCCGATGTCTGGCTGTTCCTCTCGTCAATGTGCCTTACCCGACCTTGCAGGGCTTCGATCTCACGCTGCAGTCTTAGGATGAGCTCATTGTCTTCGTTGATTTTCGTTTCGTATTCGTGTAGGATCCGCCGCAGGAGGCCGAGGTCACCTGTGGTGTCGTTGAGCTTCCTCTCTATCTGGCGGATCTTGATCTCGCCTGCTGCCTGCCTCTTGGAGAAGTCCTCGACGAAGGCCGCCAGAATCTCCCGGAAGTGTTGGTGTCCTCCGCCTGCCTCCCGCGCCTCCACTCCATCTTCCCTCATCTTCTACACCCACTCTCGTTTTCTATAATTAGCCGGACCAGTCCAGTTTTGTTTATAACTTTCAGGTGCACTCCGCGTGTTGTGAACGCAGTCGAGTAAGGCAGTAAACTTTTGATGGCATTTATGCTCCCTATGAATGACCGACACTCGTGTCTTATACTGCCTGCTGCCGCGTTTCAACTTAGCCAACGCACTGAATATTTCAATTACATTTGCTCTATATCCATTAATAAAAATAACTCACTTGCACAGGCAGTAAAAGGTGATTTCCTACTGGAGGACCTCAGGAGGGAGGTACACTGTGAGAGACGCAGTATAGGTAGCCCTCAGCTCCCCGGTGGTGCGCGGCCTTGCTCAGGGCTCCTCTTGCTCCAGCCACACACGCTGCTAAATTTGTAACGTTTTGCTCCAATGTTCCACTTTAAACACCGCAAGCAACACTAATTCCGGGATTTTTTACATTTTTTTTCAGGCACCCGAATGGTTCGTTACGATCCCGACTACCAGGAGGCTGGACACGCCTGATTCACTGCGTATTTGATGTCACACAGTCATGTTGTGGGGTCTGTGCCCCTCACACCTGGTGAACACGCACTAGGACACTACTTGCACAGCAGTCCGGGGAACTTCACAGCACACGCGGCCTGTATATAAATAACACCAGGCCGAGAGAGTGAGAGAGAGAGAGAGAGGCAGGGAGAAGGAGAGAGAGAGAGAGAAAGAGAGAGAGTTTGTGGCCGGCTGGGGCCAAGTCAGGCTCTTGGGCAACTAGGCGCTGCATATTCTGCCACTGCTTCTCTTCCCCCACCATAACCCCCCTCTCTCTTTTCCCCCACCACCCCCACTTTTCCCCCCACCACCCCCACTTTTTCCCCCACCACCCCCACTTTTCCTCCACCACCCCCCTCTCCCCCTCCACCTCCGTCTCTGCCTCCTCTCCCCTCCCCACCTTCACACTGCTTCCAATCTTGGACCCATTTTTTTCCCTCTCGAGTTGTGTCGCATTTTATCAATCTTTAATATATTTTCATCTTTGTCTGTTTCCTCTTCCTTCTTTCACCGCTCGCCATCTCTCTGTATCCACTGTCCCTTTCTCTCTCCTTCCTCTCCCTCTCTCTACTGTCTCCTTCCCTCATTCCACACTTACTCTCTCCACTATCTCCTCTCATGCTTCTCTCCCTCTCCATTCTCTCCTATTCCTCTCTCACTCACCACTTTCTCCTCTTCCTTCTCTCACCCCCCCCCCCCCCCGCCCCTCACCTATTTTCTTCTCTGCAAGAATGAATATAGAGAGATGCTAAATTAATAGAGTATTGCAGTAGAATAAACCGCCTACTGTAGGAGTCGTATGTGACCTCAGGAGTCACTTAAGGTATCTGTAAGTCAGTGTAGCGTCCTCAGGAGTGACTTAAGGTATCTGTAAGTCAGTGTAGCGTCCTCAGGAGTGACTTAAGGTATCTGTAAGTCAGTGTAGCGTCCTCAGGAGTGACTTAAGGTATCTGTAAGTCAGTGTAGCGTCCTCAGGAGTGACTCAAGGTATCTGTAAGTCAGTGTAGCGTCCTCAGGAGTGACTTAAGGTAACTGTAAGTCAGTGTAGCGTCCTCAGGAGTGACTTAAGGTATCTGTAAGTCAGTGTAGCGTCCTCAAGAGTGACTTAAGGTATCTGTAAGTCAGTGTAGCGTCCTCAGGAGTGACTCAAGGTATCTGTAAGTCAGTGTAGCGTCCTCAGGAGTGACTCAAGGTATCTGTAAGTCAGTGTAGCGACCTCAGGAGTGACTTAAGGTATCTGTAAGTCAGTGTAGCGACCTCAGGAGTGACTTAAGGTATCTGTGAGTCAGTGTAGCGTCCTCAGGAGTGACTTAAGGTATCTGTAAGTCAGTGTAGCGTCCTCAGGAGTGACTTAAGGTATCTGTAAGTCAGTGTAAGGTATCTGTAAGTCAGTGTAGCGTCCTCGGGCGACTACAAACAGGGTAAAGGTGTGTTGGACTGTGCTTCACAGTGACTGGGCAGGGCAGAACAAAATAACATGATGTTCGGTGGTAGAACTAGGCGGAGGTCCACCGTAGAGTTGTGCTCAGGGAGGCTTCCAGAGCGTGACACCCGCGCCATCTAGCGGCCGCAGCGGCACGTTATACAGAGGTCTCACTTCCTGGCCCACCTGTGTGGTGGAGGTACTTGTCCTCCCCCACAGGTGTGGTGGGGGGGGGGGGGGAGGGAGCACGGGGAGTGGGAGGGGAAATGACACTATTGTCACTCCACCACTGTCACTACAACACTGTCACTCCAACACTGTCACTTCATCACTGTCACTCCAACACTGTCACTCCAACACTGTCACTCCATTACTGTCACTCCATCACTGTCACTCCAACACTGTCACTCCAACACTGTCACTCCAACACTGTCACTTCATCACTGTCACTACGTCACTGTCACTCCATCACTGTCACTCCACCACTGCCACTCCATCACTGTCACTCCACCACTGTCACTCCACCACTGCCACTCCACCACTGTCACTCCACCACTGTCACTCCACCACTGCCACTCCACCACTGTCACTCCACCACTGTCACTCCACCACTGTCACTCCACCACTGTCACTCCACCACTGTCACTCCACCAATGCCACTCCACCACTGTCACTCCACCACTGTTACTCCACCACTGTCACTCCACCAATGCCACTCCACCACTGTCACTCCACCACTGTCACTCCACCACTGTCACTCCACCACTGTCACTCCACCACTGTCACTCCACCAATGCCACTCCACCACTGTCACTCCACCACTGGCTCTCCACCACTGTCACTCCACCACTGTCACTCCACCAATGCCACTCCACCACTGTCACTCCACCAATGCCACTCCACCACTGTCACTCCACCACTGTCACTCCACCAATGCCACTCCACCACTGTCACTCCACCACTGTCACTCCACGCTACAGCCTTGCACGCTTCAGCCTTGCACTACACTCGCGCACACAAGCAACCTGCCCACCTTGAGGGTTGCCGGTGGTGGCGTGGGTGTGTGTGTGTGGCGACCGTCGGGGCCTGGGTGGTGGTGGTGCTGGCACTGCTGAGAGTGCCGGCACCCAGGCTCCCAGAGTCGGCACCCAGCCAGTCCTCCCCGGGCCTCGGGAGGCCACGTTCTGGCACCTGCCCCGACCACTGTCACTGCTAGTCCACCACTGGCACTCCATCACTGGCACTCCACCACTGCTACTCCATCACTGTCACTCCATCACTGGCACTCCACCACTGGCACTCCACCACTGGCACTCTACCACTGGCACTCCACCAATGCTACTCCACTGACACTCCATCACTGGCACTCCATCACTGGCACTCCACCACTGCCCACCACCACTGCCCACCACCACCCCACGGGACAACAGTGGTGGTGGGGTTGTGGTGGTGTATTGAGTGTCAGGTTGTCTTAGTTACGTGTTCGGGGAAGTATGTTTGGTTTATGTATACAAAGATACACATGTGTATCTCTCTCACACACACACACACACACATAGATATGATAGAGCCCAGTAGGCTCAGGAATCTGTACACCAGTTGATTGACAGTTGAGAGGCGGGACCAAAGAGCCTGAGCTCAACCCCCGCAAACACAACTAGGTGAGTACAACTAGGTGAGTACACACACACACACACACACACACATACACATATCAAGAGGATAACATCAGCGGCATACGCCAGGTTGACCGACATTAAAATGGTCTTTAGAAACTTGTGCAAGGAATTATTCAAAACTTTTTATACCACATATGTCAGACCAATCCTGGAGTATGCAGCTCCAGCATGGAGTCCATATCTAGTCAAGCATAAGACTAAACTGGAGAAGGTTCAAAGGTTTGCCACCTGACTAGTACCCGAGCTGAGAGGTATGAGCTACGAGGAGAGACAACAGGAGTTGAACCTCACGTCGCTGGAAGAAAGAAGAGTTAGGGAGACATGATCACCACATACAAGATTCTCAAAGGAATTGATAGGGTAGATAAAGACAGGCTATTTAACACAAGGGGCACACGCACTAGGGGACACAGGTGGAAATTGAGTGCCCAAATGAGCCAGAGAGATATTAGAAAGAACTTTTTTAGTGTCAGAGTGGTTGACAAATGGAATGCATTAGGAAGTGATGTGGTGGAGGCTGACTCCATACACAGTTTCAAGTGTAGATATGATAGAGCCCAATAGGCCCAGGAATCTGTACACCTGTTGATTGACGGGACCAAAGAGCCAAAGCTCAACCCCCGCCAGCACAACTAGGTGAGCACACACACATTATATTAGCTAATAGCTAAATGAAATGAGACGCTGTGTGTCACTTTAAAACACTTTGTGACTACTCCAACTCAAAAGATAACAAATATTTAAGTGCATTAAGCAGGTGAGTGAGCAGCGCATATCCTCCCCGCGCAAGGTCCACAACTCAACTGAGGTTTTAAACCACGGTTGCCAGATCCAAATTGCTGAAAGTAGCGAGCTGAGGGTCTAAAAGTAGCGAATTTGTAATAAGAGTAGCCCAATTTTTTTTTAGTGACTGATACGGGTTTCAAAGTAATATATTTTGATATATAGAGTACATTTTACGATTTTAATTGTTTTATTAATATTATCTCTGCAAATATATATTTAACAAATATGATAATAGGATAACTGACCAATGTTTACTGTATGAAGCCTAATGAGTGTGGAGTCCTTCCACGTCTTCACAGTTGAAGATTATCAAGAAGATATTGATCTGCATCAACAACCTCGTTCTTGTATATTTCAGACTCATATTTAAGCATTGCCATGAGTGGTTCAAATGATGAGCAACAAGTTCCGTTTTCTTCAAGATATGTTTTGATTCTCAAGATTGATGTCAAAAGCTCCAGTCCCATTCGATGTCTCAGTTTAGTTTTCATAGACGTTGCCCTCGAAAATATCCGTTCAACTAGGGCATTACTGACTGGCAAGCTGTATATTTTCAATGCAAGCTCAGCGAGGTCAATCAGTATGGGATCGCCAGCAGTGTTCTTGACAGTTATTGTCTTGGTCTAAAATGATAATCCAGAAGTTGGAATTTGTCCCTCACAAATGTTGGACCAGTCAATGGTTAACGGAAGGCGCCACTGACTTTCAATTTCACTAAGCTTAGATTGATCAGCTTGTACTAATGGGAGTTCTGAAAATGGTGGCCGTGTGTGACTAAGGCCACCATTAAGGACTAAGTTTTAACATTACTTAGAATATGAGAAAGAAGCTATTTGGAAGTTTTCACTAAACAATTATCGCATCTTTCTTGAATATTTTGAAACTTTTCCTGGGTTATAAAATTATTGTGTCTGTTAGTGGCCCGAAGTGTTGAAAATTCGTAACCAAAGTCAACTTTCTCCAGGGGCAGATACATAGAATTGTAGTCCAAATTAACATGAAGCTTTGCATGATGAGGATGCACGATTCTTCTGAGTATTCTAAGAGTGAAGTTTTCTAAGACAGTGTGAAGGCTACACTGATCTGCTTCATCTTTTTGATAAAGTCAATTCATCCTTTCAAAATCATTTAGGATTGGTTTGAGACATGTGTTCAAGTTCAAGTTCAAGTATGTTTATTGAGATAAGCAATAAATACATCTCAAAGGGATAGAGTAGCTTAGGCTATTTCTACCCCCCTGAGACATGTGAAATATAGCTTATTGGAGGGATCAGCGTACATTGAAAATAGTTGCCTTGCAACATATTTATCACAAGAGGAAAAAGCTATTTGGTAATGAGTTGTT